TTTTTTCTGATTTTATCAGACAATTTAGTTAATTTATTTTTGTAATTGTGACTTTAAATCTCTTATAAAGTTACTTTATGTCATATTTATTCTTAAAATATATATAAATTTGATTGTATGTGCATAAGCAGGCTTCCGTATTGGCTGACTGCCATATGAAGTATTAATTTCACTAATTTCACGCCTTCCTTTGAGAGGAACAAAACCTGTATCTATCATCCCTCCTCAAAATGAGGTATGTGTATATCTTAGGGTGAACACATATAATAAAGACCAAGCCTTATTTCATTCCCCTCACTTAAGTATTCTATCATGCTAAGCAAATTATCTTGGAACTGTCTCAATTTGAGACATCTGTTTTAATATAAAGTCTACAGAATGTATTATTTCTACAAAGACTAGCTTTACTTAAACTTTCAATGTGTTCAACACACACACACAGGTTAGGTAGGTGGTGTCTGTGATTTTTCTGAAACTTCCTTCCTCCTGCTAGAAGCTAATGGTAATAAAGGTCTAGCGGCGGCCTCACGTATCCATCCTTCTATTCCCCAATCAGTGGGGCAGAGGAAATGGACAACCTCTCACTGCCTAGCAGCGAAATTACAAGCAACACAGCTCAGTGTAGGAGGGTTAAATACCGGTGTCTATATTTGAGGGGAAATAACATTCCTGGCCCAACTGACTGCGTGGGTAAGCAGAGTTATCGTCATAATTATTTCTGAAGATATGTAGAAGGGTTATTTTCACAGAGCAATTTAGCCCTAATCTTGGTTTCAAAGACGGATGGGACCAAATAAAAAAAGATCATAAAGGTCTTCTTAGTTTAACAACCCATCATTCCATCTGTCATCAATCCATCCATCATCAGTGATAGTATGCAAACCATAATGCATAAGCACATAAGCCATCATTGAATCTGAGTGGGTTGCTTTGATACATTCAGAACGTATGGAAATGGATGGAAATAAAACGCACAGGCGGACGGCGTGACATTGGCCCGTGGCTTGTTTGGCAATCCTATTTAATTTCATTTCTTCATCATTTCATTTCTATAAGGCCTCAATCCCGACTGCATGCAGGAGGTTGAAAGGAAGGAGGAAAAAGTCACTATCAGAGAAAATGACAGGAGATAAAAAGGGCAGGGATGGTAAAGATTACCCATGATTACCCGGGTGAACGCTACCGTAGGAGAGAGGGAAGCGGGGGCATGGAGAGTCAGGGAGAAATAGAAAGAGTGAGAGAAGGGGAACGGAAATACGGGCGAGCTACTAAAAGCCTCGCCATGTGATAAAAGGAAGAAATGCTACCGTTTGCTCTTGATCTTTCTAAATAACCGAACGACGCCGCCGCGCTTCGTATCAGGCCATCGTAACACAGCACCAGACAAATGAGCTTCGCTGAGAGGTCATATCCGATTCTCACAATGACATTTGCTTTTTATGACTTTTCCCCCGTTTTCGCAATGACAGTGACTTGTTTTGTTACAGGAAGTAACAAGTATTATCCACCATCATCCCACATGCACATACAGTAATTATACCAGCTTCCTTCAGCCGCTCTGTATTTATTCTTGTCATGTTCATTTGACTGTGATTGCGAAACATTTTGCATGTCTCACATTGTGAAATGTCATGTTTATAGTGAAGATGGAGATGCTGATTTCGGACTGACCCGAGATCAGTCTCGGTTACGCCTCTTTCAACTCAATCCGCCAAAGTAAATAAATACAGCTGGTTCTGCGTCAGCAGCCTGCAGTAACACAATAAGAGGAAAGGGACGTGAGTTTGGATGACTCCATAAACACACACATTCACACACTTATACACACAGAGATGACATTTATGGTATGGATGACCGCTGTGGATCAGGCTATACGCTCTAGTCGTCGTCCTCTCCAAAAATGGTATAAAAAAATAATAAAAGGGAAGTGTTATTGGCTAGTCACCGGGAGGACTGCCAGCGCTGCTCCACAACACTACAGATAACAAAAAGCCCTCTCAAGACTCAATCTCAGCCCTTTATTTGTGCTTGTTTACTGTCGGCTAGAAACTCGCTCTGATAGTTTCAGAGTCGCCACCTTTCAGGGGATGAGGCAGAAAAGCTGATGCTCTTTCTTTGTGCCATGGGTTTTGGTTGAAATGAAACTCTGACTCTCGGGTCAAATAACACATTTTAAAAGAAGCTCTGTCGAATATGAGACTCGCCAAGCTGTTAAATTCACCTTTTAACATTTCATAAAGCCATGAAATGGTTTGACCTGACCTATGTTGACACATTTCCAACTAAAACAGGAAGTTTGGGAGGAAATATATTGGAGGACTCGAGATTTTTAAAATAGTCAATTAGTTAGTTTACACTGCAGCTCAACAAAACCTTGATTTTCTACATGGTAATGCTACTAGGCAGGTGATACTAGTTGGAGAGACAATTTTCATGCTGAACTTTGTGAAACTTTGAATTTCATTGACCAAAAAATGTATATTCCTGAAGTAGGCTGTCCTTAAAGATGATGTCATATTGTCGGAGACAACATTAAATCATAAGTCATGCAAACGTGGAAATAAACAAAGTTTTAGTGTTTCCAGAACTAAGAAATGTTCTGGAACTTTATTATTGAAATAAATTTTTCAATGCAACTGCACAACCAGGGGTGGGGCAGGGGGGTACTGATGTAGGCCTATTGGTTTTATTTCATTTTTCTTTTTTTATTTGAAATATTTCCAAACTTGTTAACTATATCAGGAAATATCTTGATTCTCGAATATGTGTGAATAAATGTATTTTACATATCCTGTTATTTGATAATGGGTGATGGGCAAGTAGACTAATGTAAGTGTAATCTATTAATTATGCATAAAACCTGTCTTTTTACTTAAGTACTTTACTTATGAGTGTCATGTAATACATTTTTTGTAATACGACTGATTTTATATTTAACATGAATGTAGTAAAAACATTGTAAGTTACTAATTATAACGCTGTCATTGTACAGAAAGTAAGCAAAGAGCATTTACATTATCAAATAACATTTTCACTGAAATGTTCACTAAAATCTAGCGCAAGTTTAAGCACTCTCAAAAAAACTGGTTTGCCTATAATCAATTAAGCTGTCTACAATGTGAAATTAATCTCTTAATTACATTGTACGCACATTTGCACTCTGATGTTGAGAGAATTTGCCATGAGATGAGAGAGTGCAGAATTCAGAGTATGTGCACTGAACAAACCTCTGCGGTGTTTCAGTGATGACTTATCTCAACGCTTCTGATTGGACATTGCATTAATAAGCTCAACAGAATCGTCTGTGATTGGTTTAATGCACGACTCTGCAAAAACGGGTAAAAATAAGTTATAACGCAACATGAGCAGATATAAATTTAATGCCGCAATCAACACTTTTCATTTAATTTTTACTTCATTCGCGACAGTGTGAGAAACATAAATTAAACATTAAATGGTTGAAAACATTGAAAAGTTTTGATAGATGACAAATGAGCACATCTGTCTCAGCCTCAGCACCAATCAATGCGCAAACGCAGATTTGAATTTAGCAGCTGATGATAATCATGCCGGTGTGATCGTATCAAAAAAATATTATTAGGCTATTGTTTGTCTTCTGGAAGCTGCATTCAAAATCCACATGGCTCAAAAATATGAGGGGGCACCCCAGTTTGAATGGGCATGACGCCTCTGTGTACAACAATTGTGACCCTGGACCCAGGTCTTAAGTTGCACGTATATTTGTAGCAATAGCCAAAAATACATTGCAGGGCTCCAGACAAAAAAATTGAGTAAGGAGCCATTGGCTCCTATAAGAAAAAAACTTAGGCTCCAAATTATTTTTTTAGGTGCCACAGAATAAACGCACTTTATTTTTTTTTATTTTTTTTAACATTTCAATCATACTGTCATGTGTTTGTCTCATCTTTTCTTGACTTTATCAGCATTTTAATCCATGACCTGGGTACTAAGGTTCACTTAAAGTGGGAACTAAATGTCTTTTCCAACTTGAAATATACAGTGACAAAGAACTGTTGATTACACAGAATCTGCACCAATATCATGGACCATAAGCATCACTTGGCCACTGAGTGTACACTTTTAAGTAATTGCAATTTAATAAATTTAAGTTAGTCCAACCTAAAATAAAATGCGAACAACACATTTTCAAACTGTTATTTGCCAGTGTAACTCGGAATTGTCAAATTCACTTAACTTGTTTCTTTCATTATGCATGAAGTTTATTTACTTAACTTTAAGGCAACAGGTTTCCTCAATTTTTAAGCAAAGTCAACTGATCACTTCTTACAGTGTAGTTTGGGCTCCTCAATGCATCCGAAATGTTGTCATATGTCTTTCACACATCCAGTCGGTTTTTCTTCATTAGTAACATGCAATTTTATAGGGCGTGTTGTTGAATTTTATCTTTAGCTTGCATTCTTGCATTTCTTATATTGACAACAGGTTAAGTAAAACTATTAATATGCAATATCGCCTAAATATAGCAAAATGCTCTTCTTTATAATTATTTTTCTAGCTGACTGATGAGCTTATGGACACCGAATGGTTATTCTGAGGTAAATGTGTTACGTGGCCATGTTTACAAGCTTTACAAGTTTTCCGCAGTTTGAAACACTGAATGAGCGATTGCATGAGACATTTCAGTAAGTTGTACTGTAGGCTCTTATAAAATTAGCCTACCTTTTGATGTTGATTCATGTTCATTTTGTACTAGTAGAGAAAGATATAATGGGTTCACTTGCTGCTTGAACTGAGGCGCTAAAGCGATCGCGCCTGTCGCATTAAAGAGCGCCAAAACCGTATTTATTGTTAATTTCGTTATGAATTTGACTTTTAAAGCTGATACTTTATTAAAAAGTAACAGCACAAAGTTTTTTGCGATTACTGGATGGCAAGTGCTCTACAAATAGGCTAATATGAAGTTCGCGCATTACCAGAACAC